GGAGAATACGACAAGGCCAAAGAGTATCTCCACAAAGCTCTTGTCATCACAACTAAAATTGGCGACAGAAAAGTAGAAGGAGCATGTTATGTAAACCTAGGTACTGTGTTTCTGTCGCTCGGAGAATACGAGAGGGCTAAAGAGTATCTCCACAAAGCGCTTGTCATCACAACTGAAATTGGCGACAGAGAAGGAGAAGGAACATGTTATGCAAACCTAAGTTCTGTGTTTCAGTCGCTCGGAGAATACGACAAGGCTAAAGAGTATCTCCACAAAGCGCTTGTCATCACAACTGAAACTGGTGATAGAAATGCAGAAGGAACATGTTATAAAAACCTAGGTGCTGTGTTTCAGTCGCTCGGAGAATACGACAAGGCCAAAGAGTATCTCCACAAAGCTCTTGTCATCACAACTGAAATTGGCGACAGAAAAGGAGAAGGAGCATGTTATGCAAACCTAGGTACTGTGTTTCATTCACTCGGAGAATACGACAGGGCTAAAAAGTCTCTCCACAAAGCACTTGTCATCAGAACTGAAATTGGCGACAGAAAAGGAGAAGCAACTGACTACGGAAACCTAGGTATTGTGTTTCAGTCGCTCAGAGAATATGACAAGGCTAAAGAGTATCTCCACAAAGCGCTTGTCATCATAACCGAAACTGGCGACAGAAAACTAGAAGGAGAATGTTATGCAAACCTAGGTGCTATGTTTCTTTCGCTCGGAGAATACGAAAAGTTTAAAGAGCATCTCCACAAAGCGCTTCTCATCACGACTGAAACTGGCGACAGAAAAGGAGAAGGACAATGTTATGCAAGCCTAGGTAATGTGTTTCAATCGCTCGGAGAATACGACAAGGCTAAAGAGTATCTCCACAAAGCGCTTCTGATCACAACAGAAATTGGCGACAGAAAAGTAGAAGGAGCATGTTATAAAAACCTAGGTGCAGTGTTTTCTTCGCTCGGAGAGTACGAAAAGGCTAAAGAGTATCTTCACAAAGCGCTTGTCATCACAACTGAAACTGGCGACAGAGAAGTAGAAGGAGCATGTTATGCAAACCTAGGTAATGTGTTTCTTTCGCGTGGAGAATACGACAAGTCTAAAGAGTATCTCCACAAAGCACTTGTCATCAGAACTGAAACTGGCGACAGAAAAGGAGAAGGAAAATGTTATGGAAACCTAGGTAATGTGTTTCTTTCGCGTGGAGAATACGACAAGTCTAAAGAGTATCTCCACAAAGCGCTTGTCATCGCAACTGAAATTGGCGACAGAAAAGGAGAAGGAGCATGTTATACAAACCTAGGTGCTGTGTTTGAATCGCTCGGAGAATACGACAAGTCTAAAGAGTATCTCCAAAAAGCGCTTGTCATCACAACTGAAATTGGCGACAGAGGAGGAGAGGCATCATGTTATGGAAACCTAGGTACTGTGTTTCTGTCGCTCGGAGAATACGAGAGGGCTAAAGAGTATCTCCACAAAGCACTTGTCATCACAACTGAAATTGGCGACAGAAAAGGAGAAGGAGCAGGTTATGCAAACCTAGGTGCTGTGTTTTATTCGCTCGGGCAATACGACAAGGCTAAAGAGTATCTCCAAAAAGCGCTTGTCATCGGAACTGATATTGGTGATAAGAGAGGGGAAGCATCATATCTTGCAAACCTTGGATTTCTCTTTGGAATTGTTGGAAATTATGAAGTTTGGGAAGTATGCTTGGAGAAAGCTTTATACATATCTAGAGATATTGGAGATAGAAGAGTAGAGTTCGAAATCTTTCAAAAATACGCCGTTTTGTATTTAGCAAAAAATAAAATCAAAGACTCCATTGCGTGTCTTCATCTGTGCATTGAAAAGTACGAGGACCTGAGATATTTCTTGGGGGCCAATGATGAGTTCAAAACATCACTTCTGGAGCACTCAGGAATATTTCCCTACAAGCAACTTAGTACTCTGCTTTGTCTTACCGGAAATGCTCTTCAAGCTCTTTATGTTGAGGAGTTGGGTCGAGCGAGAGGTCTATCCGACTTGATGACAGAGAAGTACTCGCTTGAAACGCAGATTTCTGCTGATCCACAATCTTGGTTTGGCATTGAAAACAGTTTTAGAAAGAAAAATAACTGTGCTTGTTTGTACATTTCTTATTTTCACAATGTTCTGCATTTGTGGATCTTGAAAACAAGTGGAGTCCTTCACTATAAAAGATTACTAGAAGAGAATCTAGTTCAGGCTGGGTTGCCCAAAGATTTGCCTCTGAGTGAGTTTTTGGCTGATAGTTTCCGGAGTCTTGGTATTTTGCCCACTGAAGATTGTGAAGATCGGTCTTTAAATATGGTTGAATTGGAACCTCTCTCCCCCGAACAAAAGAGCCTAGCAAGAATGCGACTCGTGGAGGAGGACGAGGACAAGGAGGTCATTTCAAGTCTATCTTTGTGTTACAAAATGTTTATTGCCCCTGTTTATGATTTGCTTGAGGAGCCTGAAATCATTATTGTTCCTGACCGCAGTTTGTACAAAGTTCCCTTTGCTGCCCTGAGTGAAAAGGAGGGAACCGAATACCTGTCGGAGACTCATAGGATCCGTGTCATTCCGTCTTTGACAACACTCAAGATCATTCGAGATAGTCCACAGGACTATCACAGCAACACTGATGCCTTGATAATAGGCAATCCCAAGGTTGATTGGCTGCCATCATTACCAGGTGCAAGAAAGGAAGCGGAGATGGTCGGACGACTGGTGGGTGTTCCGCCTCTAGTAGGAGAGAAAGCAACGAGGCAGGCGGTGCTTGAGCGGATAAGTTCAGTGAGCCTGATACATTTTGCTGCCCATGGTAACGCCGAAAGGGGAGAAATTGCCCTCTCCCCCGTTCCTACTTCCAACAGTGGAAACGCTACCCAACCAAAGGAAGATTACATGTTGACGATGGCTGATGTCTCACGAGTGAAAGTCAGAGCTAAACTGGTGGTACTTAGCTGCTGTCACAGTGGAAGTGGAGAGATAAGAGCCGAGGGAGTTATAGGAATTGCCCGTGCGTTCTTAGGATCCGGTGCTCGCTCGGTGTTGGTTGCGCTGTGGGCCATTTCAGACAAAGCAACAGAGAAGCTGATGAGTCGGTTCTACAAACACCTTGTTGAAGGAGAAAGTGCCAGTGAATCCCTTCATCAGGCCATGAGGTGGATGAGGAAAAATAGATTTAGCGAAGTGTATGAGTGGGCTTCGTTTACGCTGATTGGAGATGATGTGAGGCTCGAGTTTGACAAGCAGAGGTAAGACTTGGTGAGAACAGGTATTTCATAAATTAAAGTTAAATTAAATGTGAAGGTGGCTATGACTTACTGGTCGCTGACTGTTGGCAGTTACCCTTTGTCACCTTGAATATCAAGGCTAGTTTTATATCTTTTTTCTTTGTTTCTTTCAAAGAGTAACAATTTATTCTCCCAGTTAGGAGGGTCTGGATGGGGTTTAATGTCAAGTGTTATTTGGCCGTTTTTTTTAATGT